TTGTTTAAATGTATGACCTTGAATCATATTCAAGGTCACAAGGAGCAAATATGTTCAAAATATTTAAACAACTTGTTCTGAATAACCAAAAGGCTCAGGATGTTGATAGTTAGTCAGTAGCATGCTGGGATCAAGGACTGCTTTGACTTATATTCATGGTCACAGGAGTCAAAGTTTAAAATCTTTAAACAACCTCTTCTGAATAACCATGGGTCCCAGGATGTTGATACTTTGCAAGTTGCATCCTGAGATGAAAGGCTATAAAATTTGTTCAACATAATGACTGTTCGTCTTTAAATCACAGGGGTGAAATGTTTAAAAAAAAAAAAATAGGTTCTTTTGAATGAATTTTAATCATAAATACTGATATTTTGCCTGTAGCTTTATTTTAGATCACTTTTAAGGTTACAAGTGTGAGATTTATACCAGGTGAGCGATGCAGGCCCATTGGGCCTCTTGTTTTTATTTGGGGCTAGTATATGTATTTGTTGATAAAACAAAAAAACACTTTATTCCATAATGGTCCAACAAAACCACCTTTTTACCTGTAATTAACCACGACCTTGACCTGACCCTCAGGCGGTTTTGTTCCTCCACTTCCTGTTGATCGGTCCATGTCAGGTGATCGCCGTCCTGGTCATCCTGTGGCTCCTCATGGGACCATCGTCGATTGCAGGAATCGGCCTCCTTCTCATCATCATCCCTTCACAAAGCATAATGGGCAAATTATTTACAAAATTGAGGTAAAACTTTGTCAAAAAGTTATTCTCCATTGTTCTTGGACATTTTGAGGTTTGGGGACTAATTCAGTACTAATAATAACCACAATTGATCAATCATTTGATTATTTTTTTCGTGGTTAATCATCATTTTGGATTCTATGGCGACATGTGTACTTTGGAACTTGACAAATTATGATTGTTCAATAAGTAATATTATCACTGTTTTTGTTCGTTTTTCATTGCAGTCACATGTTTCACTATTAACACATTAACACAGTTGCCCACACACCTGGAAGCTCGTTAACCTTTACTGTCACCATGGTGACTACTGTAAACATCATGTGACCATGGTGACAGTACTGTTAATCACTGATATTTCATGAGGTATTAATTATTGCATTCAATTGTGTTAAGAGATCCAAACATTATCAGGCACAATTAAACAAGAGAAATATTGATCCAGCACAATGAGCAATAAAGAAGACATGTTTTTCTGCTATTACTATTTTTGTCAAGTTCAAGAAGGCTTGGGATCATAATAATTCACAAACACAGTAAAACCTCATTATCGTGATTTGTCCAGAGAAATTTTGGCCGTATAAAGGGATGTGGATATAAATTGAGGGAATTGTTTAAAGGAATTCTCGGAAAAAAAAGGAGAGGAAGGGATTTGAAATATGTTGATGGTAAGTAAGGTGGAACTTGAGCGAGGGACATTATATCAAGTTGTTACTGTAGTAATATGTGATAGGGGACTATATAAAGTTTCCGTAGATAAATACCATTGATATGCCTTCAAGGTCACAGTTATCAAATCATAATATATCATGAATTTCAAACAATATTTTCTAAAGAACTGTGAGATCTGATATGTGTAGACCAGCAATGCAGCTCATTCACCCCTGAAGACACATTTTAACTCTTCCAATTCAAAGGTTGGAACATTATTAGTTCGTCATTATGAAATTTCATGAGTGAATGAGTTAAGGGGTTGATAGATATAGGGGTTATGTGATCACTGTCTGTCCCTCTGTGGTATGTATAAGCTGTTTGTCTGGCTGGTTGTTTGGGAATTCATGCCCTTACAACAGCTAAGGTCAAGGTCATGAAGATGGGTTTTTAGGGAGACACCATCTTAAGGAAAGAGTTGGTTAGAGAGAAGAAAGGCAGATTCTAGGGGTTGGAACGGAGGCAGCAGATCAGTTTTGGTCTCTTCAGTGTCGTTATGTAGAAGAAACTATAGGGGTCCCCATATATTGGTCGCCTCTCTTAACATAAAGTGGGATACAGCAGGTTTTTCCTTCCCTGTAAAACTGACTATACACTTGTATAACTAGTGATATCCATTTCTCATAAAATGTATTCATTGTGGTGAGCTTGCTCCGATATCAAGTGATATATGACGTGAAATCCTATAACACATAATGGGACCATTACTATAGGCTAAATTTATACTTAAACATGGTAAGTTTATCTAGATACATCATTCAGCAAGGAACACGTGTGTAGAAATAGGTTTTACCTACATATACCAGTCTTGTTTAATAGAGTATTAGCAGGTGTGTGTAGAAATAGGTTTTACCTTCATATACCAGTCTTGTTTAATACAAGTATTAACAGGTGTGTGTAGAAATAGGTTTTACCTACATATTCCAGTCTTGTTTAATACAGTATTAGCAAGTGTGTGTAGAAATAGGTTTTACCTACATATACAAGTCTTGTTTAATACAGTATTAGCAGGTGTGTGTAGAAATAGGTTTTACCTTCATATACCAGTCTTGTTTAATACAAGTATTAACCGGTGTGTGTAGAAATAGGTTTTACCTACATATACCAGTCTTATTTAATACAAGTATTAGCAGGTGTGTGTAGAAATAGGTTTTCCCTACATATACCAGTCTTGTTTAATACAGTATTAGCAGGTGTGTGTAGAAATAGGTTTTACCTACATATACCAGTCCTGTTTAATACAAGTATTAACAGGTGTTCAATGTCCTTCAACTAATTAAAAAAAATGAAAATATAATGCAAAATAATAAAACTAAAAATAGATAAATGTTTACGTTACAATATTGATGAACAATGTACTGTTAAAACATGTCTGACAAGCTTTCATCTATTTCAGTCTATTTTCGCCATTTGTCTCACCAATTAATAGGACTGTTTTATTGTTTAAAACAGCATCAAACATGTTAAATGTTACATATGAAATATACTCTTCATCAGACTTTTATGAAATACCGGGAGATTATATTGCGTTCAAATTAATTCTAATATTAATCATAATGGTGCCTCAAATTTAGACTAGTTGGCCAGATAAACATTAAAACCCACTTATTGGTGACGCTTGAGTATGTTGTGGTAACATCCATTTTCTTTATATGTAATATTAATCAAGATTCGTTCTGAGAAATTTAACTTGAAAATTTGATCTTCACATAAAATATCATGAATAGCAAATTACGAAAAAATTAGATTTAATGTGTGTCATTTGCTGTTGCGTTCAAATGACCTGTTTCTGTCACATGTACGAAAAGAAATATCAGTTTTCCACTATGTTCCTTATATAAATGAACTTAAAGAAATATTCTGTGCCGTTTTTTAACTTATGGGGTATGTTCTCATCCTGATCATAATTATGTTACCTACTGATCAAAATGGCACTTGAAATAGATCACATTTTGACAGGATTGTCTTTGATATATTTTAAAATTATTTGTTTATCAACCCTATCAGCCTCAAAGGCAAAATCATTATATACCTTTTGACAGCCAGTTTTCAAGCCATGAGTTGAAATGTTCCATGTTTATATTCATAAGCATTCATTGTAGGGTGTCAATAACATATTGATAACACAGATATACACACCAACGTGTGTGCTACCCATAAGTGTGGATGCGTTTGGTACAACAAAATTTTGTACTGGTTACTGCCAAATCTTGCAGTCTTGCTGCAGACTAATTACAGTATATGCATGTTAATTCACATGCTTTTAATGATCAATGTTATGTAGATGCTGTTATTGATATGTCATCTGTTTCAGCCTGTTGTACTAACATTCACGCCAGGAAAGCATGTCTATTACATCAATCACTGTACAATTTATGTCCTGTTGATGAATCTGTGAACAATTGGCCAAATTTTTATTTGTTAATCCTCTGCTTTTCTTTATACTGTTATTGACCAATAAGGGTGCTGAGCATAGATAAACTTATGATGCGTTCGTGTACAGCGCCATTTCTGTGGCAGAAGGGGCCTAATTCACAAAACCAAGTAGATAGTTTCTAGAAATCATAAAATCTGGAATGGAAATAATCAGGAATTTTGTAAAAATTTGAGTTATATTTCAATAATTCCAGGGGCATCCATATCATCCTTATTATGTTAAATGTGATATTTAAGTCTTTATTTGATGGTATTGGTTTACAGTTATGGATGTAAAATTGCATTTAAAGTGATCATAATAAGGTTGAAAAAATGAAATGGAAATTTTATTTTAATGTTTAAACCATTTGAAAAAAATTATACTCTGTCCCTACTTTGACATATTGTCACAGATTTGTCATATATTCACTTTATTTGGGCTACACGTTGATACTAACCCCTTTATAATGAACAGGCGGCCATTTTCCTGCACTACCTGTGGGTGGGGCCCTGTCAGGCAATACCAGTCCTCATCATTCTCTGGCAGGAGCTCGGCCCTTCTACGCTCGCCGGGTTTGTTGTTCTGCTTCTCCTCGTCCCTGTGCAGAGCTGGATGGGCAAGCTATTCTCAAAACTCAGGTAGGAAAAGTTGGTAAAAATCTGCAGGTATATCTACAGGTAAAAAATGTCGAAACCAGACTGGATGATTGGGATGAAAGCCAGGGTAACCATGACTATCCATAATAGAACTGAAAAGCATGGTAATGAACAGTAGAGAATGCTAAACATGGGTGAAAAAACCCAGATATCTAGTAATATTGGGGTGATATACACAGCTAGATAAAGTGCTAAAACACAGACATATTGAGTTTCTGTTAAAACAAGGGTTATGATCGGCACCTATTTTTGCGCACACCTGACACAAATTTGTGGAGGCAGCCGTCTTAAATGTGTAATTTAAGCAGAACCTGACTGGTTGCCTGTGTATTATAGCTGCCACCAGTCAAAATTGTTGGGCGAGAAGTTCAATTTTGGCATGAGATATAACAAGAAAGGTATCTTAATCCTCAATCATGTGGGAAACCAACATACATATTTGAAAAATGCCAAAAAACAACAAAAAAAACCCCACAACAACAACAACACAAGATTCCAGGACTAGGATGAAAACGTAGATGAGTTTGGAAATCCAGAATAAAAAATAAAAAAAATTATGAAACGAGATTTGATCATTTGGAAGGAATCAATCAACAGGTATTGGATTAGATACTGCATGTGGACAACGTCAGAACAGAAAATTCAAACAAGTTCAAAAGCATTACTTCATACGTACATTCTGAATTTGGATAGGGAAATTCAGCACACCAGGGTTCAAACATTGTCAACAGATTTGGTCATTACGGCCGACAATGGCAGGTACAATTTCATGTAATGGAAACTACAATATAGAAAGCTTCTAGTATATCGTATCTTTCATGTACTTTCTGTGTTTGTGTTGTTGTGGACTATAGTGAGAACGCACTGAAGCAGTATCTGTACGTGGTATCTGGAGAGGTTCAGGTTACAGGTTAATATTATAACTACACTACAAACAGTCATGCAATGTTAACCCACAAGTATATAGGTCTAGTAGAGGCATATTTCAATATTTACAAGTCGTTAACTCATTACCCCTTGAGACACATTTGAACTCTTCCAATTCAAAGATTGGAATAGTTCATTATGAAATTTTCAGGGATGATAGAGTTTAAAGCTAAAATTCAAATATGTATTCTGAAGTAGGTACATTTTAATGTACACTAATCTCTTTAGCTATTTGAGAAGCTTCAGTATTGATGTAAAATATTATCTTGCCAAATCAGTTTGATACAAAAATTGGGTTCATGTGATCAGTGAGATTAAGATAAAAAATTGTATTTGACATGATTAAAAACACTAAAGTTTGAAGTTTTCAAAGTATGTTTAGTTTTCCATCCTTAAAAATTGGACATTGCATAGAGGTTTGTTATGATTACTCTTCTTTTTTTTGGTATTAATTTTCAATTGTAGAAAGTCATTTACTCACATATTTTGATTTCTGAAATTCATTCTGAAATATTGTGAAAGTTTTTTTTTTCAGATTAATAAAACATCATTTGTCATCTAATTAAAATCAATTTAAATATTTAAACAGCATTTCTCTCACATCAGTTTTGATTGATCAGGTTCTGGCAGATTTGTTAGAGCTGAGTTGTCTGTAAATCTGCGGCTAATTACAGTTAAAAAACCTGGAGAATGGATGATGATTCTTCATTGAGCACTGGACATTTACTTCATTACTTCCCAGGATGTCGTTTCTCATTAGTGCAGCTGGGTAGACAACAAGATGATCGAATGTCATGCTTGAAAGTACATCACAGGATATGACACATTTAGTAGTTGTGTTGCTTCATATTGGTAGAACTATTAGAAAAGTTATTTAGCTTGATTTTTTGTCATGGGGGGGGGGGGGGGGAAACGCAACAGACACAATTACTTAAAAAATGTGATATATGAAATGTATTGATTATTCCTATTCACGTTTCTTTTAAATTATAGACACAAAACAGCCATTCACACAGATGAAAGAGTGAAAGTAATGAATGAAATAATCACTGGAATGCGGGTTATCAAGATGTATTGTTGGGAGAAACCGTTTGGTGAACTTGTCAGCAAGTTACGCAAGTAAGTGTCAAATTTCATAAAGATGTAATCTCCAATATCAGTGACTACAGGAAGACGTGCTTTTCTTTACAGGAAAAATGATACATAATTTGATATTATCATTGCTTTTATTGAAACAAAAACCAGAACGAAACAAAGACAACAGATGCGGTGGAAAAGCATTTGTTGTTTTTACAAGGTTGCAAGAGTTAGTAAATTTATCTCTTTTAGAACGATAAATTTTATAAAGAAAAAAACTAAGTATTCTGCCAACAGCTGGTGATTCAATCAAGTTCATGAAAATTATTATCAGAAACATGATTCCCAATAATTTTTCATCTTTTCCTAAATATGCACTAATGAATATAGAATTTAATATGCACAGCTGGAGCCCTTCAACCATGTATATATATTTCCTTCAGTAGAATTTATAACTCAAGCAACCTTGAATATTTTGTTCGTTTTTCTGTTTTTAATAACAATATTTCACTCCACAATACAGCAGAGAGAGACATCTTACCATATTCAATTTGATATTCACCTTATCATGTCCCTCTCAGTTATATAAAATCTGATTTTCTCCTAACAATTTAAATTGTTTCAATCTGATTATAATTTCATTTGAAAATTATGTACCAAAATTTATGACCATTTAGCCATCATATTTTTTTCAGTTCAGTTCATTTATCTGATTGAAAACAATATGTTTTTATATGAACAAGTACCAACAGTAATGTTTACACAGACATTTTTTTCAGAAGTTTTTGAATTTGTTTTCGAAGCAAAAAAATAAAAATAAATAGTATATGTAACAGTTTCCTTATTTATATAAATTCGTTTGGAAATCTCTGAATTTGGTTGAATCAAAGGTTTAATTTAGTTGAATTAAGTTGAATATGGTAGTCTTGAATTTGAATTATTTCTACACCATTTTGAAAGTTTTTTATGCCATATAGTTTGGTGATAAGTAGATTTTGAGTATATTTTTTTTAAATAGATCATATTTAACTTCGACAAATTCTCCCGTACTTAGCTTTTATAACACCTCCCCCTGAACTCATGATAAACTGGTCCCAAACAACATCAGGAACAGTCTATTTCTGTTTTCGCGGGGATGTATTAATTTGAAATGATCAAAACAAAGAAACAAATTTGTATGAAATTCCATTCCATTTTGTTACTATTTATACCATCCAATCATGATCAGAAAAAAACCTGGATATAAAGCTCGTGCAATTGAAATGACGAGGACTATCAAGGAATAAAAATTCACAAGAAAACGTACATTATCTGATCTTCATCTGATTTAAATAAGAAAATTATGGAATGGAATGAAAATTGCAAATACTAATTTTGTCAGTAGGGCTATAGGGATGTGTGGACGCTACTTCAGATAGCAATATGTGTAGTAACTGGTATGGTGTGACCTTTTAACCTAATGAGGACAATACAATAATATAAAAAATGGATGAAATAAAAAAAAAATACTTCAAATATTGCATTTTTTTCAACAAAACAGTTATGAAATATATATGACAGATCATTGAATGTAAGAAAGGATGGAGGCTCTATTTGTGTTCATTAAACAGCTTATTTATTAATAAGTAACATTTAATTTGTTTGTTTTTTTTGCTTTTCAAAGAAAAGAAAAAAATCTTAGTTTTCTGACACCTGTATCCCTTGTCACCTCAAACATTGATGGTAAATTGTGGAGAGGGGTTAAGTATTGTTTCAATTACTTGTGCCCTATCCTTTTGCTATATTTCTAGCAATAAAATGTTGAAATAAAAAAGAATTGTAAATTGCAATGTGAATATGGTTAAAATCTGATTTGTACTTCATTTTAACAGGAAATTAAACAAACATGTTTCAATATTTTTTGATGAGACACTGTATTGTCCACATTAGGATAAATTAATGTGACCCTATACTCTATACTAATATATCCTACATATATAGATACATAGCAATACTAAATACAGTTTACTTGCCTAAACAGAACACTTCCAGGACCAATGTTTGTGTTTGGAAAGGACAGACTTTCGGTTTACAGAGATGTACCATAATTTCCTGTGTACTGCCTAATCCAGAGAAAAGCCTGTGGGAGCTAAATATTGTGTTTGGTAAAGGAGTTAACAGATTGCTCCAGCAGGTTGTCTATATCTTATACTTTGGAATGACTTCAATGACAAATGAATACCAAGGTGTACCTCAGCAGATAGCACCGTGCCCCACATTATACACGTTTATTGTGTCTGATGTTTAACTTAAATTGATTCAAATTTGGATTGAAAATAGAACACATATCCCCCATTCGTTATACTTTTGTGTAAGAATAGAAACAGCTTCACCAGCAAAGCCTGCAAATTTTTTTTTTTTTTTTTATCACCAATGGGATATTCACAGGAAGTTATGTTACATATAGATTCTGTATACCCAGGTTTGTATGACAAAGATATCGGAATACTGTTGACCTTTTAGATGTCTTATTTGTACGCCGTCCCAGAGGTACAAGTTTTGGTTTAGGCAAGTGACACTGTGTAGGACAATCAATTAATCATTCTGAGATTTGTAAATTGAGGTTTTAGGTGTTTTCAGTTTAGCTTGCGACAAGCCTGCTAACGTGTAGACTCGTCTAGACTTCATTTATTAATCTCAAGTGAACTCCGCTATTGTTTATCACAAAATCAGTAATATATATACACAAGAATTGTTGAAAAAATTTGGTGATAAGAAAGACAACACAAGGTTCTTGAATGTTGAAATGAAATATTGCAAGCTCTTGGCATCGTCTTGAAATAGTCGTTCAACCAATGGAATCAATCAAATAATAGGTCATATATAGGACCAAATTTTACAATAATCAATTTCGGCCATTTGAATAATGTGATAAAGGATTAGAACTAAATACTAGCAGAGTCTGGCTAACTCACTATATACAATATGTGTGTGAAATTAATTCAAACTCAAGCTCCAGCTGGAAATGATAATAAAAAATTGTCACCCTCACAAAAATTCTTGAGAATGCAATCCTTATGTGAAAATCACATGTCGGGATTCTTATCATATTTTGATACATGTTGATTTAATCAACCCTACGTGTTGTTTATTTATTATGTATTGGACATTGCAGATATACAATACAAGTTATTCTTTTTATTTTGATTTCACTTTTCAATTCCAAAATGTTGTAATATATGAAGTGTGCACAGAGTTTTTAATGATTAAAAACATGCATTAAAGTTTCAAAATTAACTGTATAAAACATATCCAAATTACAAATTATTGACTCTTAACGTAATTGTTTCAAATATGAATGTGTCCGCCATTTTAACATTGTCCCAAGTTTTTGGCAAAAAAAAGAAGATTCTTTCTGCTCCAGGAATTTCAAAAAGTGTTCTTTGATTGGTTAGAAAACTCCTGATCTATTGAAACAAAGAATGCATTATACTATTATTTTCTTATTTAATTGAAAGTTGGACTTGTACATTTTTTTAATTTTCGCATTGGTATATTGGACTAATACTTTTAGCTTTGATTAAATGTAACATTTAGAAGTCATGTATTGCAGTTTACAAGTATAAATACTTTTTGAATTTGAGATTTTGTTTTAATTTTGTAGATTGCATGTAGCATGTTGATTGCACAAAGCATCTTGTTTGCATGTTATTTTCAAAACTTTGAAATATTGTCCAAACTTTTCAGCATGTCATTTGCATGAAGCATGTTATTTTTTAAAACTTTGAATGAAATCGTCCAAATTTTTGAAGGTATATGAATTTATAATTTATTTTTAATTGAAAGCTAAAAAAAAATAAAAAAAATAGACATTTGTCGAATTAATATTTTGGTAACTAATTTATGTTAAATAATACTTCAGAATTGTTTGGACAGTTGTATGTGGAGTGCAAGTTTTAAAACTTCTGTTTCTTTTTCATACTTTTTTCAATAGATCTAACCTTATTTGCTTGTCACCTCTCTGCTTAGTTATCCAAAACCTAACCCCAATTTTTGAAAGCATGGCTAGCTTGACAGTGTTAGCCATAGCCTCAACCCTAATTGTTCATAGCATGCATGGTTAGCTTGACAGTGTCATCCGAAAACCTAACCCTATTTTTACAAAGCATCGATTAATCACTGTGCTGATAGAATATGCAGCAATACAAAATGTTTCAAATTCTTTGGATTTTCATTTTGAATTTAAAAATGAATAAGATAGAAAACTACTTTGATGAGGAAAAAAATTGAAAAAAAATTGTGTGCATATTCTAGCCATGCTTCTATATACTCACCTAACACCAACTTCCCAACAATATGCACTTAACAATCAATTTTAAAACCAGTTTATGAAAAACACTAAAATATCCCCTCCTCTTAAAAACAATAAATAAAATGTTCAATTAATTATATGGATAAAGAATGAATAAATAGATATATTATAATATATATTAAACAGCACTTAACAATGTACCTTCAGTGTGGTACAATACCTCCAAAATAGAATTATGATACCACCATTGTTTTTATCCAATCTGAATTTGTAGTCCAACTGACTATACAGTAGGATGCTGATTATCCGAACCCAGTTATACAAGCTTTAAATTATTCGAACCCAGTTATCCAAGCTTTGAATTATCCTAACCTCAATTATTCAAGCTTTGAATTATTCAAACCTCAATTATCCAAGCTTTCAATTAGCCGAACCTCAATTATCCAAGCTTTAATTTCAATTAGCCAAACCTCAATTATTCAAGGTTTCAATTATCCAAACCTCGATTAACCAAGCTTTAAATTAGCCGAACCTCAATTGTCCAAACCATTTATGTAATCTATTTTGTTTAGTTCGGATAATCAGCTGGCTTCTGTATTTATTAGCTGGCAACAGCTGAGCTCTGCCATTTTCACCCTCTCAGTGATGAGTTGGTTACATACAACTAGGTGTTAATCACAGCGACATAAAGTTCTAAGAAACTGCTGCTGATATTTTTTATCCTATAGTTAATATTTCCCTGAAAGTTTCA